ATTTTATTTAAATAAAGTAAACAATTGCTTTCATGAGAAGCTAAAATTTTATGGAGAGAAATATATTTTCTTAAAAAATATAAAAACATTTCTCATATTAATATTATCAATATTATATTAGTATAAGTAAAAAATTGTATATTAATATTATTAAATAATATTAAAAATTTGTATAAAATTGTATATTAATATTTGTTATGTATTAATATTTGTATATTAATACATAACAAATATATATATGTGTATATTAAAAATTTGTTTACTTATACTAATTACAGTAGTATAAATAAACATATTATTAGTACCCACTGATAAATATTTTTTTCAATTCTTAGATATTTTGTCTCTCAACATATTATAGTTATCATTTGAAACTCTTATCTCATATGAGATACTCATATTTTTATTTGAGTGAGATCCAAATTTTTTAATTGAATTATGATATGTGATATATGACATTAATATGAATTTTTATCCCGACTCTGCGCGGCGTCGTGCCGCGCGCAAGAGTCGCATTATCGTTTTTATTTAATTATTCATTGTAAGCTCATATTTATTGCTCCTAGTTCTTACGCTAATGTATAATAATTTGCATTGTCGGTTAATTTAATGATACATACACGGTACATCGGTTAGCCGATTAATGATACGACAAAGGAGACAAACGTCTCTGCCGTCTCTAATAACGATATAACTAGCCGTTCGATCACGCGTGATTATAAAAAGAATATGAAGTATACTCGTTTGCGGAACGAGTGTGGATACTTTCTTTTTTTCTAATAAAGTTAGAAGCGTATCAGATTGTCACGATTGCGAGCCACTAGTTATTCACGAGCCTGCATTATAACCTATTGACAGAGGAGCCAAAATGCGCGAGACACATCCGACATCACAACTGCAACAAAAGAAGTAGGAAAAACACAGATATCTCTATTATATTTGTATCTATCAGACAACAATATAACGAAAGACTATTATTTATATTATGACTGAACTAACACGAAAACACCATCAGTTTGACATCTTTGTTAATAAATAATTCATGGAATTACTAACAAAATAAACTAACGTTTATATAAAACTTTGGTTTGTCAGCGACCAAAAAATAATAGAAAATAAAATAATTAATAAATATCAGTTATAGTCTTAAGGAGATATACTAGATAATGCCGATTATACCAGTAATTGTACTGAAAAAAGAATCATGCACAAAAAAAATTGGTATTCACATGAAACTAATATATTCAAATCAATAATTATTGTTTCATATATAAGCAACAATATATAATTTTGTTAGAAGAATTTTGAAGTCTCGAAAATATTATCATTTTATCTGGATATTATAACAACCTCATACAAGAAATACAGTACGATTACTTTGACGATAATAATCTCTTCCTCTGACACTTAAAAGCATCATGTTCTCAATCCAATATTTAGTGCTTTTCATTCGTGAAAATTATTTTTGAATAATAAGGATATATTTTTCTTTGTTGTGAATCACACATAAAATGCATTAATGTGTGTGAAAGTAACTTTGTTTAACGAATGTAATCTTATTTTAAGATTTACATGTCAAAACTAACTAAAAGTATTTTGATTTGAATATATTAGTTTCATGTGAATACCAATTTTTTTTTGTGCATGATTCTTTTTTCAGTACAATTACTAGTACAATCGGCATTATCTAATATATCTCATTAAGATTATAATTGATATTTTCCAGACAAGAAATTTTTTCTATGTGTCCTACCAAATAATACAGATTCAATGACTGAATGCTCATTAAATGATATTATAAATTGATATATTTTTCAACTCATTAAATGATATTATAAATTGGTATATTTTTCAACTCATTAAATGATACTATAAATTGGTATACTTTTCAACAAAAGGTTTATATTTCTTTTAGAAATATTAAGTACAAAAGTAACTTTGTTTAACGAATGTAATCTCATTTCAAGATTCACATGTCAAAACTAAATATATTTTTCAGATAAAAAATTTGTTCTGTGTCCTACCAAATAATACAAGATTCAATGACTAAATGCTCATCAAATTATATTATAAATATATAATATTTTTTTTTTTCAATAAAATTCCAAAGGTTTTTTTAGAAATATTAAATGCAAATATATTAATGTTTTCACAGCATTCAATCATTAGAACATATTCGATATTTACTTTATTGTCACTTTGGCTCTTGTCATAAATGATTACCAGATTATAAGCAGCTCGCAATCGCGATCATTTGCTGCACATGACATTCGTCGGGAAAAATGTGTTGAAACTATTTCGCGAGTGAATGTACACGGGTACCCCTATGAGTTCCCAAAATCTGTCACACCTCTATTCTCTCATCAGATTTATATTGCGAAATTCAACGATGTCAAGTACGTTAACTGTGCGCAAAGGCACAGACAGTCGACTGTCCAATTTAAACTCGTCCAATCGAGACGACAAATACGACATGATAACGACTCGCGAGTAAGAAATATCGATGTAGAACACTCAGTTAAACGTCTTACCGTGAACAGATCGAGGACGATACATCCCTCAATGTCGCAAGGGCGATGCGATGATTTCGAATCCGAATGTCGTGGACGCGCGCGAATGTAACGCGATATTACACGATAAATTGTGTCGCCGCGAACGCGCCAAGAACTCGACCGTTAATGAAATATGGCGGCTACATGAGAAACACATAAAGACTAGAGACGAACGCGGTGGGTCCAAAATGATCGCTATCTATCGATCTATCGATAGATCGATAGGTCGACAGTTATTAAAGGCTTTCAGCTAACCGCACCTATTACTGGTTTTTCCTATCTATAAAAACTTCTTCTTCTTGTTCTTATTATTATTTTACTTGGACACAGACTTATCTCTATTGTCTTTTCATCTAAGGAATTCGTACTGATGTACGAATTCCAAAAAAATCAGAACGTGTTCGAACATGTCTTAATGTAACGATAATAGTAAATAAACACATCTATCTATAAAAACTTGCCAAGTTTAATTATCAGTCTAAGGCCGGTATTCATAGTCAGATTTTATATTTATGACCGTCTTAAGTTTATCTTCAGATGATGTACGGATCATTTTTCATTGGCTACGGAGTATCTGAAAATGAACTTAAAACAGTTTTAAATATAAAACCCAACTATGAATACTTTTAAGGAGGTTGTGAAAATACGGCACTCAGTGCCGTATTTTCAGTGACGTATTAAGGAAACTCATTCATTATTTGCTATTTATCGAACAAAAAAATCACGTTTCTATACATTTATTGTATTATCTAGATAATAAATATTAATTTCAAATAAAGATTATATACACATTATATAATCAGATTATATATAGAGTAAGCGAACCTATTTCGGAACAGCACCTATTTCGAAACACTTTAATTTTTTTCCTGTATTAGGTATCAAAAAATATCAAATTTTTATGAAACAAAAAATAAGTTCTTTGTTACAAACATGAAAATCTGACTTATTTGACAGTTAATATAGGAAAAAATTAAAGTGTTTCGAAATAGGTGCTGTTCCGAAATAAGTTCGCTTATTCTAGATATATACACATACACACACATATACACAATATTATAAATACGAAAAATAAAAATGTTTTAATTTTTCTTATTAATGCTTTAGTTTATCTAATAGAGATGCATAAGTACTAAAAAAAGGTATACAAATATTTAAATGAGTATATGTGTATATGTATATCAAGTATTGCTATAAATAAAAAATTTTCCATTGCTATATTTTTCAAACAAAACGACCAATAATAATTCTGAAACTTGTGCAATGTCAGTATATTAATCTTTAATATCATAGTAATTTTTCATTAAAATTCATTAAAAGAAATTAAAAATAGCACGCTAATTCCGAACACGTATAAAAGTGCTAACTTTAGTTTCAAATATCTCAATTCTATATAAATATATTTTTCTAATTGCACGACAGCAGTTAGCCAATATTTTAATTTATATGTGATGGCAAGTTTCAATGAATTCTTAGTAAATTTTCATTTTTCCGTACAATCTCCTTAAACGGCCTTTAATTAAATTTGCCAAGTTCAGTTGTTTATTAAACGATCTTTGATTTCTTTCGCTCATATCAATCGTAAATTAAACGGTCTTTAATTGAATTTGTTAAAATCAAAGGTCAATTAAACATTCTTCGATTGATTTTATTCGAATCAATCAATCAATTGAGGCATATTTGTTCGAGGCAATTATTAAGTAGAGAAAAATTCAATTGATATTTTTACTTAACTTTCAAAAATTTGTCACAAATCGATCTATCGAGTGGTAAGACATCCGTAGGACTGAGCGTATGTACTTTCATGCTTACGACTGTGTAATCGAAATAAATATTTAAGATGTAACTCTTTGCGTATAATCATAATTTATGAAATAAATTTCTGGTAAAATGTATCGCCTGATATTGATTAATTGTAGTTGAAAGTAGTGTTGGGAGCAGCAATCGATTAAAATGTTGCTCGAATAAAATAATCGGTAGATCAATAATCAAAATAAATCAGCAGTCATATATGCAATTATGAACAATGTAACTGATTGACGAAATTAATTATTAATCAGCGTATTGCACTTCAATCAAATCAAAGCTTGATTAATAATTAATTTTATCAATCGACTAAGTTATTCGTGATTTTATGATATGTGACAATTGATTAATTTTGATGACCGATCTGTCGATTATCTCAGTCAACTAACATTTTAGCCAATTAATCCCGAACACTGACTGTAAGGATAGAGACACACGACTACAATCACGTAATTCACAAAAAAACTTCTTAAAAAACGAAACTTATAAGCGTGCTGTTATTGTAGCTGCTTATATCTCACGTTACTTCTCTGTCAATCGATCAATAGGATAAGATTCGATCTGATGTCCTCTCCAGTTGTTACGATTTTATCGAACGGTAGTACATTAAATATGATAGATATGTGAACGTGCATTACTCACCGAGCACGTCGGAGTTGACTAAAACGTTGCAGCTGTACATCGGCGTCACCAATCGTGGACGTCGCAGACTGAAGATCCGTCTACACGCTTCCTTAAATGTTGACATTATTTGGCCGCTCAATTGTCCTCGGCTCTGAACACCGTAATCCCTGCAAACATACGCATGCTTCAATGTCGTGAATTTTATATACGTATAACGTGAATAACGTCAATTAACATCAAATGTCACGGCGCGGTCAGCTCTGACCTCCTTGCTTACTTCGTTCCGGCATGATAATATATATATATATAAATATATATACCGTTATCACTATGTTATTTAAAGCTCAGCACGAAACGTCGTCACACACGATGGCCGCATCGACTTTCTTAAGAATATAGTTGCGAAATTTTATTTATATTTCAGTTGTAACGATAAAATGATAAAGATTAATAAATAAACCATCACAACGTTCTGATATCAACCTTTCTTGGAAATGAAACTTGTTATCACGTTATCGTGTTCTTCTAATACTTTTGCTATCGTGCAAGACGCAATACAGTTCGATTACCCTTTTCTAGTGTTGCAGTTTTAATTAACAGCAGCACATATGTACTATTTGCGACAGTACTCCTTAAGGGAGATAAACACTGAAAAAAGCTCTTTTTAGCGAATTTTTTGTGACGTCTATAAAGCAGATAGATAAATAAATATTTCTGCATTGAATTAGTCATCTTTTAAACTGTTGAAAAATATTTTTCTATTTCATAAAATTTTGGTAAATAAAATGTGTCTGTAGTAGACTCTGCAAGCTCCATCGAACCTGGAGTTCTTAAGTCATCTAAAATAAAAAAACTTAACATTTTTTTTAAAGTGTATGAATGTAGTTTCAGTTAAGCGTACAGATTTTTTTACGATTGAAATTTCCTCAAAAAAACGGTACTTTTTTTGGACGATTTTCGAACATTTTTTTAAACGTACGCTATTTTGCGAATAATTAAAATATTAAAATTTGCGTACGCTTAACTCTGAAACTACATTCATATACTTTAAGAAAATCTTGGGTTTTTTTATTTCAGACGATTTTTAAGGACTCCAGGTGCAGGGCCGATGAAGCTTGCAGAGCCTACTACAGACACATTTTACACCAAAATAAAAATATATTTTATGAAATAGAAATATTTTTCAACAGTTCAAAAGATGACTAATTCAATGCAAAAACATTTATTTATCTACCTACTATATGGGCGTCACAAAAAATTCGCTAAAATGAGCTATTTTTTTCGGCCGTCACAGTGTTTATCTCCCTTAATCAAAGATTAATCCAAGACACGTTGCTTTACACAACGATCGAAGTAGTGAAAGATATTCTATAAGTATCGATGTCTACATACCCAAAATCATTACAAATTTTCCACTTCTTTACAATAAAGCACACACCCATCATAGACTCCTCACATAAAGGACCAGCCAGTGTAGCGAGTTGAAATCCATTGATAACGCTATTGTCGTATCTGAAATAATTGCACAATCGTGTTAATGTCGATTGTTACAACAGAACGAGAAGCTTTTGCGTTAAACGATATAGAAATAAATACTCACATCGCTCGGAGATCAGTATTCACTACTTGTTGGTCCCAAAACTTCTTCTGCTTGTAATCGGTCGCGTTCAACAGGATGTTAGGCCCGCACTTGCGAGGGCCGAACGACCAGATTTGATCGAATTCGTCCTTCCATCCCGCCTCGAAGAAGGCTGCCTCCAATTCGTTCTTGAACACCGTCATCTCCTTCTGCTGCTTATCGGACATGGACGCTTCGTTGAACTGATTCTCGGTGGGCAGAGCCTTGTGTACGCCGTTTTCCTTCGCGTGCTTGTTGCAGTGGCTGTCTGACAACTTGATCAAAGCCGCGTTTTTCTCCAGCAGCTTTGTGATGTTGTCCGGAAGCGGCCTCGCGTCTATCTCAAAATAACACTGCCTATTCGACGTCCAACTCTCCAGGCTGACCTCCTCAGTCTTCCACTCGATCGCCTCGTTCACCATGTCGAGCTTCGGTGGCGGCACGATGGTCTCGCGGAGAGGCACGATCGGCTCCGACACGTTAACGTCGATTTTCGCGTATCGCATGTTGAGATCCTCCAGACACTTCTCCAGATGAACCTCACCGGCGGTACTCAGGACTACCTCGCCGGTCTCCTGGATGTGAACGACGGCGCAGGCGTCCGCCTGGTTTAGCAGTTTCAGGCCGTTGATGAGCTTCGGCAAGTCCTTGGGCTGTTTCGGTTCCAGAGCCACCCTCAGGATGGGAACAGCGAGGGAAGTTAATTCCGTGAACGAGGGACATGCGATCGTCGTGGAAAGAGTCGCAGTCTTCAGTACGTGCTCCTCTAAGCCGCCGATCCCGAAGACATTGCCCGCCGGCACTTGATCCACTGCAAGGAGCTCCCTCCCCATGAGAAGGTATAATCTGTCTATAGTGACCTTTGTGATGTGACTGCCGGGTTTCAAGTCCCTCAGTACCAGAGATGGATCCACCTGTTCGCCCGCTTTCTCGCGCTCCAGAGCGACCGCAGGGTTGTGCTTCGGTCCTAAGACAAAGACTTCATCTCCGACCTTGATCGTTCCCGAATATACCCTGGCGAAAGCCATCAGTACATTGTCCGGCTTCTCGTCGGCGAGATCTTCGTGCTTCACGTCGTTGTTGTTCGTGGTGGTCTCCTGTGCGCTCTCCAGCTCATTCGTCGCGAAGCCCTGCAGCATTTTCTCCGCGTGCTTCTGCCGTGCAATTTCCTTCCTGTGCGCCAGCTCTTCTGCTGTCAAGGGCTTTGGCTTGTTCTCAGGCAACATGTCCATGTCCACGGGGAACATCTTCGACACGAATATAATGGTGGGTGCTTTCGGCGACGAGTCGCACGCCAAGAACGTCGACTTGAGCTGCTGCGTCAGATGAGGAAGAGTGCGAAAGTCGTTGTTACCGCTTAGCAGTCGCTCAATCTTCTCGCTGCTTAGATTGTGGGGCGCCGGCACTTGCTCGCACACCATGTCGATGCAGGCTCGCGCCAGAGGCAGCCACTGCGAGCAGATGGCCTGCAGTTGCGCCTTCGGATCCGTGTGCCTCAAGTCCCGCGTGGTCAGCTTGACATCCAGCTTCTCCGCCATGTGCGACAATTTGCTCTTGTCCTTTCGTATCACCAGCGTGTCGTACAGCACCCAGATATTGTCTAAAATGAGTTGCACGAAAAGCGGTTTCTTCGCCTTCTCCTGGGCTCCCTTCATGATCCTTTTCGTTTTGTTATTTATATAAAAATCTCCCCACAGTGTCTTACATAAGACCTTCTCGCTGAATCCCAATTTCTTCGCGTAGATCTTGGCAAACTCCTTTATGCTGAATCCCCAGCCGTCGTACGCGCTGGTGAAAAGAACGTTGCCCTGTTCTGGAGAGAAGTACAGGCTGGAATCGTCGATCTCCTCCAACCCTGACTGCCAGTCAGTCAGGTTCCTCTTGTTCGTCTTGCTCGCGGTTGGGATCGTCTCCTGTCGCTCCTCACGCTCCATTATGTCGCTGGCGAATATCTCGCCCATAACTGCATTCACCTGCTCAAGAATCTGCATCAGACGGATATAGGCGTCCAACGGGCACAGCTTCATCTCCGTGATCAATCTGTCGATCTTGTTGAGTATCAAGATGGGCTTTAGGCCCTCCATGTAAGATACAGACAGGACACTACGTGTCTGGGAACATACGCCTTCCACTACGTCAACCACGATGAATGCACCATCAGAGAGTCTTACAGCTGTGGAAACCTCAGATGAAAAGTCTACGTGGCCTGGACAGTCGATTAAATTCACCACATACTCCAACTCCTTGTATATATGATACAGCGTTATGGAACTGGACTTCATCGTAATGCCACGCAGCTGCTCATCTGGTCTGCTGTCCAAGTAACGAAGCTTGCCAGCCAGTTTGGTCGAGATAATGCCATTGCTCGCGACTAGAGAATCTGCCAGAGTAGTCTTCCCATGGTCTACATGTGCCAGTATACATATGTTCCTGATGTGCGCTACATTACTTTGTATCGCACTCAGTTTCTCTATACCGATGTGACGCATTGTTGATACCTGCAAGTACAACAGAATAATGTCAGTATAATGTGTATATGTGTGTGGAATTATATAATTGTATATTATATACAAACCGTTTATATTATATAATATATAAGATCAAGATTGCACAAGGGATGGCAATCGTGTAACCAGCTCTACGTACAAACGTACAATCGAACACGTGTAAAAAAATAAATTACAATCGAATCGATCACAGTCACGCGTGTGCGGTCGCAGTAAACACTATATCACTCGATTCTGTCTCCAAAGTGCGTAAAGTACGTTGAACATGAGGACGTACGGCAGGTAACACTGAGTCGTTCTCGCCGGTGCGCGGTACATGCCAGCGGACATCGAGAGCACGTGTGAGATCTCCCCTCTTTTCGGTGTGTGCCTCGAGACGCGATACGCTGGGCCCGCGGTCGAGGAAAATGTGATTGACGTGCTTGTAAACTTGGATGAGGTGAGGTTAGGTTAGGCTAAGCGCATCAACGTGTACCTCCGTCGGGCACTTTGCGGTGTCGCGTCGCGTATCGCTACGTCACCGAGACACCTCAAGGAACTTCTCAATCGCACCGCGACGTGATTCACACGTGTGATTCACACGATGCGGGCCAGACTTATCACTCAATCATACACACCACGAATACGTATTTCACAACCTGTCCATGCACGAGCGCGTAGCAACTGAGTGGCGAGGAGCTGCCGCGTAGCACCTATATATAGGCTTACTCCCCACTGCCCGCCGGTCTGCCGGCGCGCATGCGTCAACCATCCTACGTGACCATACATAAGCGCGATCCGTTAAACGCTACAAACGCTTCGGCATTAGATCAAAATTATTGTTTTACTTTGAAAAACCGATCATAGTTGATTATTCTTCCCGTATTTATAGTTGGTCAATTTCTTACTCTTACTTCCTACTTCTTACTGCTTGCTTCCAATGTAGACGTCCCTTAAGGACACAGCAAACATGACGTCAAATAACGTCTTTATATTAATGACATTTTAATGACGCACTTATAACTTCTTTATAATTTTATATATTTTATTAATGACGTCTTCGACAACAATAATACGTCGATGATAAAGAATGCGCCAAGCGAGTGATGGAAAAATTAATGTCCGATCACGTTGGACAATTTTTCAGTTGGCAGGGAAATGTTGGAAAAAAAGATCCGTTTAAAAATACTATTATGATGGAGGCTGTAAGACGTGTCTTTTATCCCTTGTCCACAACCTTGCTTTAATCTTTAAGCCGTAAGAAATTGATTAACCATAGTCAATTATTTAAAAAATAATCAACTATGGTTGGTCAATATCTTACGACTTAAAGATTAAAGCAAGTTTATGGACAAGGGGTTACTTCTGATTGTTATATTTAAAAAATGTTTATGCTACAAATATTTTGTTTTTTATAGGACATGTTTTCTAAGAATATTTTACAAACGTTTGTCAAACTTTTTACGATAATCGGTAAGCAAATATTTGACTGGGTAAACATTTGTAAGTTTTACGAACGTTAAGACGAACGTTCCTCAAACATTTTACTTTCCTGAAAGATCCTTATAAGTAAGAAAATATGTTATTTTATAAATATGAAAATATGTTATTTTGTAAGTAAGAAAATATGTTATTTTGTAAGTTTTAACTTATTTGTGTAATTGTATAATTTGTAAATAAATAAATATTGTTTATATAAACATTTATTCATATACATCTTTGCACTTGCTCATATAATACCACCGGGATTTGTACCATTACAATATCACCAACATACAAACGTAAACACAAATATTTTAAGCATTATTGCACATACTAAGGACTTTGCTGAGTCAAAAGTTGTATAAAAAATTAGATTATATTTTATAACTAATCCAATGTGCCTATTTCAAACATAGAACTGTATTGTATGCACCTTACACTGCAAAGTACTTTGCACTGTTCGCTTCATAGTTGGGTCGGCTTGCTGGTCTTCTCTTAAACATGTGTGCTTTTCAACAAGAAGTTCAACTCTGGGATTAAAAATCTTATTATTATTAAAACCCTCATACTGCATTACCTCCTGTGGAGTTTTAACATACCTATGATCAGCATTGGTTATATCGGTTGCAAGAGTCTCGAAATAAGTCTTAGCCTTAGCATCAGTTAGCTCCTACTCTGACATCATCGAGATCAGCTTGTCTCTGTAGTCCTCATCATCAGTTCTCCTTGCTGCTTTTGTAGCTATGTATTGTAACTCTGGGTCTGGTCATAGTTTTGTCCTAGTTCTGGTAGTTACTACATTGCATAAAACAGTCTTCAGAAATTGTATGAGATCTTCTAGTTCTTCCTCTGACAGTCTATGTGGATCTACAGTTGCAGTCTCAGTAAGAAGAGGAGACTGTCTCTCAATGCCAATTGTAGGATCCCAGGAAGTGAATGGAACCTTTATTCTCTTTCTCGGCGATTCTTCAGGAATGACATGGATACTAGGTGTTTCACATTTCAGACATTTATCCATAGTTCTATGAGGGCAGTGTGTGAATTCGGATGGCGTTGCTAAGATTTCCCAAGAGTCAGCTTGGATCTGGGATGCTATTCTGTACATGCGTACCGACAACTGTCAGATCGGTAGACGTCGTTGCGCAGCTTTTTTATACCATAGAAAAGCTGCGCAACGACGTCTACCGATCCGACAGTTGTCGGTACGCATGTACAGAATAGCACCCCTGTGCTGGGATTCTGTAACTTGTTATTGAAGTTAACGACAGTTTCGTTATCGTTGCGCAGCTTTTCTACTGTATACAAAAGCTGCGCAACGATAACGAAACTGTCGTTAACTCCAATAACGAATTAAAAAATAGCGCTATTGGGAATTCTTTTTAGATCTAATTGGGTAAGGGTCAGTTTGTGTTAATTTGTTCACGACTATGATTTTCATAAAAAGAGAAAAGAGTTAAAGTTCGTTGTACAATTGTTCTCTTTGTAGGTACAAAATGTGTGCTCATCAATGTGGATGTGTGCTGCTCCGTCGAAATCGCTCTTCGTGACGAATCGATTTTTCTGCAAACTGAATTCTTCGACTCTAAGGCTAAGGCTCTCTCTTTCTCTTTTTAGATCAGGCCCTAATTTTTGACTTTTTTACTACTTCCTATGTCAGTAAGATATATCAAGATCTCGGAAAACGCAGAAACACGTTACAAATCAATCACGGTCGTAACGTGTTTAAACTTCAAACACATCTTAACATAACGGCGGTTAGGCGGGAATTTCAGGCTAAAGCTATTGGTTGCGTTCAGCAGAGAAAGCTGCTTTGCAACGTTGTAAAATTCGTGAATCAAAGGCGTTTTTCGTTTCGTGACTATGGTAGCGTTTGGTTGGTTAGTTTGATCCACTTAACGCTCGCAACACCTCGAGCAACAAAGATAGAATGACACTCGCAGCGTTGCGAGCGTTAAGAGTGCGTTCAAATGAAAATTTTACAATTCTCGATGTTGATAGGTTAGAATGTTTTCCGTTTTTCTTCCGTTCCAGTTCTTCATAACAGTTCTGTGTCATGTGAAATCTACCTATCAAACAACAGAACGGAATAAAAACGGAATTACTCTGATTGGTTGATCCCCACTATATCTCTTCTGTAACTGTTCCGTCACGCTATTTCTTTCTCCATCTGAACGCACCCTAATGGTCATTTTCACCATCTCCGGTTACCTTAACCGGCTAGTTATTCCGTTGGAACTGACCAATCGCACTTGTCATTTAACAAGATTAATTAATCACCGTGCACATTTAACCAGTAGTTAAGGTAACCGGAGACGGTGAAAATGGCCCTAAGTGAACCAAACTAATCAACCAAACGCTACCGTGGTCACGAAACGAAAAAACGCCTCTAATTGGAGCATGCACTTAATTTTGATTGAATCCAAGAGCATACTCCAATTAGATTCACGAATTTTATAACAGTTGCAAAGCAGCTGTCTCTGCTGAACGCAGCCAATATTACATGTGTCGTACGACAAGTTTGTCGGCCGCTCTAATTGGCTATCGGATAATGAATTTCTGGGATATTTGGAAAAAAATTAAGGACTTCAGGGCTGCGTTCGGAAACGTCACCCAAGTTATCCGTTACGTTGGAGTAAGCGAGATACAAGAGTGATATAAAAAGAGAGGAAGAGTACTCGAGTGACGTTTCCGAACACAGCTGTCTAGGAGAATTCTATCCATCAGCCAATCGACACGTCCGACCATACTTATCGTACGACGCATGTAATATTAGTCCCGATCTACAATAGGTGTAGTAAACTTTAAGCCGTAAAAAATTAACTAATCATGATTAATTATTCTTCTATAATTCGACTATGATTGATTAATTTCTTAAAGCTTAAAGCTTAAAACTTATTACACCTATTGTAGATCGAGACTATTCCTAAAAAGTAAAGCGGGAAGCACACACTCTTGCATAAAGGTATAATGCATAACGCATATGGAAATTAATTAATCAGATTTTTTCATTTCCCTCCTCAGGATGGAAATGTAGGACTCTGATTGGTTGATTTCCTTAGGTGTTATCTATTATGCGTTATACAAAAATCTATGTTCAAGTTCTAAAAGTGTCGATGCAGCTTTTTTATCTATTATATCTACACAACACACGTAATGATAATAACATTTTTGTTAAAAATTACAGTCAGCCTGCTGAAGTGGGCGATTACGAGCGTTATTTTATCCTTGTTTAAGATCAAGTGAGAAATAAGGATAGAATAACGCTCGCAGCGACACGATTGTCAAGTGAAATCTACCTCTGATATTCTCGTTTCAGGGACGAAATCAGACAGAATTATGAAAACTTTGTTTCTGTCTTTCATGTGTTCGATGTTGCTTCTTATAGCAGAAGCCGGTTTACCTATTTATATACGTCCATGAGGTCCATGAAGTTATTTATAGTTTTATTTTGTTGTGTATTATATTTTCATTATGGTACAGAATTGTTGTGTGACAAACTGTAAAAATGTTTGGAGACGACACAGCAGCATAGCATATCATACGTAAGTTATATATATATATATATATATATATATATATATATATATATATATATATATATATA